TTTCCAAAAAAAACTCCATGCTTGATTTTAACTGACAGAGAATTATTGCATCAAGTAAACTATCAACAAAATCACCATATTTAATTCTCTCCTTTGCAACTCTCATTTTGATAAAAACATTGACATTGATACTTCAAAATTGTCTTTATTTGATTGTTTTCAAAGCCTCAGGAGGACTTGTTTATCATGTCCTGCAATATCCCTTAATATTACACTTGGTGGAACTATAACTGAAGCATTTTCTCCGCTAAACATCCGGAACACAACACTAGCGTCTCTTTCTTGGCTAGTGAGTATGCTCTGGTTTTAAAAATAAATGTAAAACATATTACATTTCCAGGACTGGATAAGGCCAAAAACCAACGATAAGTTGCAAGGTAAATGCGTTTTATTGAAAGCAACATGCAACAATCATCATAAAAAAGAACATGCATAAGGCTTGTAATGGCATAGCGGAAACTTGTCACGGTTAAAAGTTCTAACAGGTCTTGGCATTCATTGCGATCGGAATAGATTCAGGGATTTCTAGTTCAAGTAAAACAAATGCTTTAGGGAATGAAATTCAACCATTTATATGCCTTGAAGTTCCTAGTCAGAATTTTACTTTATCATGTGTACATTTTTTTGCCGCACCTATAAGAGTGGAAATATATAGAAAATGTCTTAGAATGCATTTTAACTTAATCGTTGTCAGCCTCTTTGTGCCGATTATTCAAACGAAGCCTAGGTAAAACCTAATAATTTGGATATACCAACAAAGTTGAAATGGTAAATTGGCCACCGTAATGATTACAACAGCTGACGTTTCGAGCGTTAGCCCTTCGTCGGAGCGAATGCCAGGTAAAACCTAGCCTAGGTAAAATCTGACATCCAGGGGAAAATTAGTGAATGCTGTTTCGTCGATAAATAGCCGGACCTTTTTTCTTAATTTTGCCTTTGAAGAGGACCAAATTACTTGCTCCTGATTAGATAATCGCTAAAACACCAAAGGCTCGTATCAGATTGACCTATATGTATCGACTCCAATGTCTCACTGAACAATTACCCTTCAATGGAAAACGCTATGACATATCTTTTTTAATCAACGACACAATAAAGCACAAGAACTACCAAAAATTACAATCCTTACCAGGGTTACAGTACAATGCTAAAAGAAATTACTTGAAATTGAACAACAAATTACTTAGAAAAATATATTTAAACAAGCAACAATAGCAAAAAAAATTCAATTAAAAAATGCACTATTAAGTCCTATAGAGCAACCTGGTTGTTTTAGATCTCTCAAAGAATAACGAAAAAAAAAAAAAAAATAAAAAAAAAATAGAAAAAATCCAGTTACCATAGTCCTCACAGGATTTTACGCCACTTCTCTTAATATTCGTTATAGATTCATATTTCAATTGAAAAGTCGTTTTCCAGATTTTAACACTCTTTTAATCATATAACTAAAGTCCGATATTAATGGATAAAAAAAACGCTAAACTCTAACCCTACCCCAAAACAATCCCCAACCCAACCCAACCCAAACCCTAACCCCTAACGAGTTAAGGAGACTGGATATAATTTCTTTGGCGCGCGAAGACTGGTTCTAATTTACCCGGGACTTGTGCAATCCACCCAGAAGGTGAACCTCTCTTAGCAAAATAAAGCTCTTTAGAAGAGCGCGAAGGACGTTCGGCGAAGAAGACGTCCAAAACCTTGTGGCGTCCGTGGTAAGTGTCGTGGCGTGACACAAATGTTGCGCATGCGCAATTTCCCATCTTGTCGAGCCGAAATTTTCGAAATTTGAAACTTTAGACTTACGTATTTCTGTTTCCGCTCGTTGAATTTTTTTTTTTTTATTTTTTGCACGTTAACTTTGAACGGCTTTGTGCGTGTTTTACAAAAATTCGAAAAAATTCTGTCAGAGGGAAAAAAAGTTAACGATGAATTCTAAAACAGGCCTCTTTTCCTTAAACTTTCTGACAGAATCTTTTAAACTTAACAGTGAAGTGGACCAAGACAGTCAAAGGACGCATGCAAAATCTAAAATAAATTTACCGTCAGTTTTAAGAAAATTCAAGTCAAGTCTAATTTTGGACCCAGCATTGTAAGCCTACAACGTTGCCATGGCAACGAATGTTTCAATATATTTACAACAAACTGATTCTTCAATAATATCTTTATTTCAGGGGAAAATGTGATCGCGATTCGTTAAAGTTAAGCTTCATCATTTTAGTTTAAATATCTTACATCAGAAAAGTGAAAAACTATATCCAGCCTCCTTAACTGGTGGCTGAACTCAGTTTTCGCGCGCGCTTTTGCTGATGCAAGTCAGCGCGAACACAAGGAGTGCAAAAAGCAAACATGCCGTACCCCCACAATCTCTGCTATTTTTTCTCTATAGTTGGCGCCGTGTATAGAGAGCTTTAACCTTTGATTACAAAGATAGATCGTTAGATATAGATCGTTAGATATTACATATATTAGTATTTATCTTGATTGTTTTCAAGATAACACCCTGAAAGAGAGAAATAGATTGAAAAGAGCGGGAAAAGGAAGATTATGTAACCAAAAGTATTTGATGATGGATGTTCTAAGCACTTTATTGGGAAATGAAGAGAAAAGCGCGGAAAATGATTCTTCAAAGACCAGCAGTTTATTAAACATTCATCAGTACATTCCAAGGTAAATTAGCATTAGTACGTTTACTTGATAAGAACTTCTCTGACGGGTTTTTCTAGATAGTGAACATGTACACGGAAAAATATGAAGGTAGATCCTGGACAAAATGTTCGATTCGTCGTTTCGTTATGGCGTTTCGTCGTTTCGTTTTGTCGAGTCGTTGTTTTCCGAGTTCGACTCGTCAAACTTTCAATTCGTTTCGTCGTATTGTCAGTTCGATTCGTCGGCTGGCCTCTTCGACTCGTCGTTTTAC